CCAGCTCCGTTGAGAGCGCTTCCTACCAAGTCGCTCGTGTGACTTTTTGCAGTACCTGTGGGCTCTTTGGATGTTTCCGATCAACAGAAGAACACGTCGAGAATGACTCGAGCATTCTTTATCCATGAGGTTGTTCAAGATGCGTTTGAAGCTGGGCTTTAAAGCTGATAACTCGGCTAAGCAAATTTTTGTATGTACCTACAGTAATTTTTTTAAAGTAGCATTTAATACAGATTTAGGTTAAGCTAATAACCGATCTGTTTAAGAATCTATCTATGACCAGTTTAAATTGTATATCCACGAAAGACTTCCACCAAGTGGAAAATGGAAAACATGAGTTGAATTACATTCAATTCTCTGTGTAGATAGACCCTGCTTTTACTACCAGATAAGCACAAACGTAGCTAAGCTAACATGAATTGGATGTAAAGACCTATTTCCCAGAAAGAAATCTCCTCTTAAATCAGAGAGTAAATACTATGCAGAAAAATGATTTTATCACGATGGGATAGAAGGGTGCAACTTCACCTGCTGATGTACCATTGCCTCTTTTTTTGTTGCCATGGATATAGCTCCATGTATACACACACATATGTTTGTATACCGTGCATATACTTCTCCCCATACCCCAGGGGTGAGAGCGGTGCTAATAACACGACACCCTAAACAAAAGTAAGAAGATACAAAGTTATATTTGAGTAAAAGCTCTTTTGGTACACTGGAGATAAATTACTGAGATGCTTTTGGAATGACCACCCCAGAGATTTCCTGGAGTGCATTACCTTGCTTGCAGCCAGGAACAGCCGTTTTTGGAGATCTTACTAATTAAGTAGTTAGGCAACCGAGTTATACTCTTTGCTCTTGCTAATCTAAAGGTGTGCGAATGCAACCGCCCCCTGAGATGGGCATGAGTTATTTGGTGTCACCCTTACTTTATCCAAACGTACAGCTTATTATTTTACATTTAAGATGGCTGGAATTTGCATGGTGCAGAACCAAACCACGACGTGATGAGGGGAGGCAGCAGAGAGGAGGATCCTCCCGCTTTACAGCTGAAACAGCTTGATTGGAAGGGTAGCAAAGCTAGATCAGCTGGAAACCTCACTCTGCTCCTGTTCAGTGGGATGGGAACGTGATCTGGGGCCTGTAATCTCTGCTTCAAATTTAAATCAGGTGTTCTACTATGACTTGAAATCAGGTGTTCTACAGGGAGAGTGATTGCATATAATCCATGCGTGTGGTGGTGTGTTCCTTGCCAAGGATGGAGCCACACTAAAGGCTGGAGGGAAGAAAGATTTGAAGACGGGTTTTAAAACCGCCATCAGAGCAGCTTCTCAGATGACTCATGAGTATCTTTAAATACTTTACCTCTCTTTTACACTTTAGAGGCACGAAAGAGCAGTTAAGCGAGTCAAGCAAGGACACGCGAGAAGCCCGAGTGAACGCTACAGAATTCCGTCCTCAGTCTCAGAAGTCCTTTTTGTTTATTCATACCGCGCATGAATTATTACTAAGACTAAATAGTTAATAAGCGTTGACGCTTACTATTTTTAGGCCGGAGAGCGCCGAGAGCTGCGTGGCCGCACCGCGCACCCACCCGTGCGGGCTGTGGGGGGGGTTACTTCGGGGAAATTCCCCGGTCCGGGGGGGGATGAAGCCCCGTGGGAGTTTTACACCGTGACCGGGCGGCGGCGCTGGCGAGACCCACGGGGTGTGGAGTGGGGTTGGGGTG